CACAACCATGAGTCCCTGATTTGCCCCGACCATTTTGAGCTGTTCTTGCTTGTTGAATTTATTTTAAAAGAGATACAAGCCACACGCTTGCATATAATCTTTCAAATGGACTCCAGCTTTTTGCAGGGATGGTTTGTTAGAGAATATGATTCCCAAAACACTTTCTCTTGCACATGAAATCAGCCATCAATTCAGCTGGAATAGAAAGGCTTCCCACACTCAAGCTAGAAATCACTCTTGATTCTAGCAAGTACTGCTTTTTTCTTGCATTCTTGCCTTGACCTATTCATGCACTTATGATTTTCAGTTTTTAAATGTTACGATCTACCAAAACTACTATTGTAGATAAAAGAATACTAACACACCAGATGTTGGGGATGCCAAAATGGCAGTCTAATAATTGTCTTCCTTCCTACAAAGCCATCTGGGGCTCCTGAAGTGAAGTCACCACACAAAGTAACTGCTGTCCATTAATTCACTGGGGTAAGAAAACCATTTGTTTCAGTTGGGTAGAGCTCCAGTCTTGCACGGGCCCCATCATCATTATACATCACTCTTCCCTACCAACTGAGCCTCGTTGAGGGGGTCTCAACCAGCCCTGCTCAAAAGCTGGGTGACTTCAGAATAGGATGTGGCTTATTAGGCCAGGATTTCTAGAGTCTTTCCCCCCTGATCATTTTGTGGGAAAGGATAAATGTTCTCTATGACTCAGAGCCAACATCTTAGAAACATGTCACTGGTCCCAGAGCAGTCACAATAACCTGAATGGTAACCCTGAACTATTTCTGCCAACAAAAAACTGAAGGAGATATTTGGCTCACAATGTCTTATCTAGGACAATGCAAATTATGAAAACAAAAGCTCTGATTTCTGTTCTTAGGTTCACAATGTAATTTTGGTCAATTTGCTAGTCCTAACATTTCCATTCTCCCAAATGAATGAAATCATGTTTGTAAGAGGCAGGCTGAAAACTGACAATTCCACTGGACATACCAGGAGTTCTTTTCACTAAATAGGGAGATTTTACTTTGCTTTCTCATTCCTTCTCAAAGTACTCAGCTCTGGGACAGGAGCTGGCTGGGAGTGTTCTTGGCCTTTGGCGTCTACTGCTCCCTTCTTTGGTTCTCCCACGTGGGGACTGACTAATTCAACAGCAGAATGAACCCTCAATGAAGCAAATCATACCACGGACCCAAACAGTGAACATGGGTCTAGATAATCCAAGCAACAACCCAGCCACAAATTAATAAGGAGAAAAGGAAAACCCAGCAACACAAAAACAAAGAACTCTCAACTTTACAAACACTGGGAGGGCAACAGCTGCTCAGCCGAGATTAAAGGAGCGTGAGAGAGCACCTCCCCATCTCCTGACTTCTCCTCCCCCATAAAGGTCCCTGCAGCCAGGCAGGGCTCGCTTTTACACTCTGTGCAGATGACCTTGTTCCAGCTAAGATAGGGGCTCTTTTGATCTCAGCAGGGGGATGCTCTGGGCCTGCAGCTGGCAGATATTAATAGTACAGGATCCGCTGGGGTGGAAGAGATCTCAGTTGGGCCCAGTGCCTTGTATTCCCTGCTCTGGGTCAGAGCAGAAGGGACTTCATTTCCCTGAATCAGCCCCTGCTGGGTACTTCTCTCAGGTCAGCTCAGATCATTTATTGCTCGCTGCTCTAAGCCACTTGTTCTCACCACGTAACTGTTTTCAAGGTGCAGGTTAAGCAGTGCCCTCTGCTCTGCAGCTGAAATCTATTATAGGACTAGGTGGACTTTGCCCTCGCCCCATCGCAGTGGGCTTCTCACTCTCAATGATTTGCACACATTTCTTAGAGGAGAGAAGAAGACGGAGCAAGAGACTGACAGAGCAGACCAGAAGTTTTTACAGAGTGAGAGAGCAATACAGGGGGCAGAAGCTGTTGTAGATGTCAGTTGGGACAAAGGGCGATATGGTCATTCTTGCCAAGCCCATGGATGGTGAATGCTTCCGATCTACCTACACACACACACACACACACACACACACACACAGGTCCAAAGTGACTAAAAGATCTGCTTAAGAGTTAATAACACAACAACAAAGCTTATACAACAAATGTTTAAAATGACAACAAAGCAATTTATACATGCTAATCACAGGAACAAAACAACCACTGTAATATATTTGAATTGGTATACATGTTCCAAGATTTGAACACTTTTATTCATTAGTAAAGAACTTCAGGAAAAACTTCTCATAGCCTCTTTACCCGCTTAGTTATACAAGGAAAATAGCTGGAAAAATCTGTTTCCAATCTTCCTTACATTTCATAGTAAGAAAATGTTGTCTAAAGATGAGTTGATAACTTTCTTTGTTGAGTTGATAACTTTTCTTTGTTCATGAGCACAACTTACCACGCCCCAAAGCAATCTCCTCTGTATCTGTTTTGTTCCTCTTCTCTGCTTGAGATAAACCAGGAAACCAGGACAAAGAAAAGTGTTTACTGGTTTTCAAAAAGGAAACAAGATACTGTCTTCTGATCTCAGAACTGAATCAATGTGTGTGTGATAATTATTATGACACTTTTTAACTATGTTCATAGGTGCTTGATGTGTTTCTCTTGGCTATTGTTCTTACAAAGTACTTACATAGTATTGGTTTAGCATTTATTTATTGCCAGTTATGTGCTTAGAACTTTGCTAGTTGGTAGGGCATGAGATGGAGACAAAAAGAATACAGGGTAGTCTGCCTTTACCAATCTGTCAATCCAGTTGGGAGAATGGGACAAATTGTGTCAATTTTTTCTAGACCCTTTTCTTTACATAGCTGAGCAGGTAAAGAGGCAGGACACAGAAGAGGCCACACCCATGCCGACTAGAACCTGAGAAGGTTTTGTAGAAGACGGACGTGGTCTTTTAAATAAATCTCCAAGGATTGAGAGGATTTGGGAAGAAACACAGTGGAAAAGTGCAACAGGGTAACATTTTGACTCTGTTCCAGACTGGATAGGTTCACATCACTGTCAATTCCTGCAGACCAATAAAGGATCTTGAAGTCCCCTGTAGATTTTACAGGCCTTTAATGTTGAAGAAGGGAACAAGGGCCCCTGGCACAACAGGTAGGGAAGCTGGCATGCAGGGAGGCAGGGGAGCCAGGAGGCTGGCAGCAACCGAGCCTCCCAGCTGTCACAGTCTCCAAGGTCTCTTCGATCTGGAGTTCGCTCTTGGTCTCCCTCTCACCTTGCCTCAGTTCACCCAATCTAGTGATCTCTCCTGGGCTTCCATATTTACAGGGATGCACACCTTATGCGCCCTGGCTTCTTGGCACAGGTGTCTACAATTACAGGTGCGGGGCTTCCTGCTCACGCTCCCAAACATTTTCTGCAACAATACATTTCCACGTGTGCGCTTTTAAACCCAGGAGGAAAACCACACCACAGGTGGCAGCCAAAGAGGCCAAACCTCTATGGCCTGATTTAACTCCATTTTCCCCACAAGTTGTGTTTGCAGAGACAGGAAGGTAGGGCTGGGAGGGGGCAGGCAGGCTTGCTGATTGTGCTTCACCTAAGGTATTCACAAGAACCACACTGGAAAGAAAAGCCTGTGAAAGTTAAGAAGCACTAATTTTCTTCTCTGGTGTTATTTTGAGAAACTGACCCATGCAAAAGCAAAGGACGAAGTCTGGCTTTAGTATTAGCTGATTTTTATGGTCTAAACATGCGTATCCTGGCTGATTTCAAGCTAACAAACTGCAAATTCCTGGATATTTTAACAAACGTTTATTGATGGTAGCCCATTCTCAGAAAAGGACTAAAAAAAAAAAAAAATTCAAGATTTCTGACTCAATCTCTGTCTTTCTTACAACTTGTAGAGCCGTAGAATGACACAGTAAAATGTGGGGCCAGTGTGGAGACTTGAACTTGGAAGTGGAAGAGCATGCAGAGAGGACGGCCACTTGGAATTGTACTAATATGACCCCCTTGTGAGGTTAATAAGTCAGGTGACCACAACACAAATTACAGAAAAGAGGAGACCAAGCAAAGAAGTATTTGGAAAGAAAAAGCACGTAGATTTGATGAAGGAGTAGAACAGTAGATGGTTCAGGTTTTCAATCCAGGTGATGGGGAAGTAATAAAGCACTATGTGTGCAAATGAGGGTATGCAGAGGATTTTTCAGGCTTTTACAAGTAAATAGTTTCCACTCTGAAAAATGCCACTGAGAAGTAGCAGCACAGTCCTTGCAGTTTTGGTACTCAGGCCTATCCATGCAGTAACACCTTGAGCAGTCAGAAGTCTGGCTAGGGTCTGGTCATGAATAATTCTCAGTAAATGAAATGAGGGGTCAGAAACAAGCATCTACATCTACCCTGGCCACAACATTCTGCCCTAAAGCAAGTAGACGACAGCTAGCAGAACTCAGAAATGTCAAGTAAGAACTTTCAGTAAAACTAGAAACCACCCACTGCTTGCTGTGTAATTCCCCTAGCTACGAAAATCACAGCCAACCTGACCTTTGCTAGCAGGAGGAGGTGGAGAAATTTTTGCAGATTTACCAGCATGGAGAGTTTTTCTTAATCCTACTTTCTGTAAAGTAGATCGGGAATGCCACATCCCTGGCACATGACACTAGTGTGCAATTTTACCAGTTCAAAAGGACTCAGCAAAACAAACAGCCAAATTGCTATTGACCACAGGTGAAGCCAAGTTTTGACCATCAGTCTCAAAAACAAAGTCACTTAGCAGTTTGCCAGCCCTCACACTACCGAGCCAAAACAACCCACAGAGGTTGTTTCTAAGAGGACTGTGGTGGGATGCCTCTGACAATTTCTTGGTCAAGTGAAAGGGAACCTCATTACAGAGATTGGCCAAGTACAGTACAAGATGCCAGGAAAGGTGGCCAACCCGAAATCACCAGGCTCCTGCCTGGCATCACTGGCCAGGGCTTGCTAGCTGCTCTCCCACCTCTCAACCCAGGCATGGGGGCTCTGTGTCGGTGTCGGGTTTCAGCCCCTGTAGGAAGGATCCCTTACCTTCAGACAGGGACAAATCATCAGCTGGAGACACCAGGTCTGCCTGAGAAGCCAAGGCTCCACTCAGATGGGTTGTAATTTGATTCGTCAAGATAACCTGTGAACAGACAAGGAGAAGGTGGGGGAAGGGAGCAGAGGACCAATTAGTTCTTAGAGCCATCAAAAGGCAGACTGTGGCTCAGGGGAAGACAGATAGGACACAGGTAGGAAAACCCCAGCTCTGACTTTCATCAATTTTATCTGTAGGTCAGAATATCTGGCAAACGCGATGGGTCATTCAATACACCGAAAATCAAGGAATAGGCCGACTTTTTTCAGCGCTTAAAGACTAATCCTTTCTAAATGCTGAATGACTTGGGACTGAGAGTGTTGCTATATTTATAAAATGAGCCAGGGAATGAAGATGTTTATTATACATTTGATCAAACTTTAATTTTTAAGATCTGAAACACAGGTTACTGCTAGTGCTGGAATAAAAGCAAAAATTTACAATGTGAGTGTCTGTGGCTTCTGCCCTTGGTAACTTAGTTTTAATTCCAAATTTGTGAAACTGCAGTAAAGTAGTTGAATTCTAACAAGAGAAAGTCTCGCCATACATTTTCTTTTATTTTTTTTAAGATTTATTTATTATTTATGCATACAAGAACTGGGCTGCAGACCAGAGGTGTGGTGTGAGGGATTAGAGGATTCACCAGAGACAGAGTACAGAATGGGCAAATCTACTGAAATACACTGCTGAGGGGAGCAGCAGGTGGGTCAGGAGAGGCCTGCCTCACCATGTGGGTCACCTCCCTGGCCGGGGATCAAACTCATGCTGGGTAGCTGCAGATAGCTTCATAGTGCTGGGCTTTACCCTGTTGCACCACCAGGAAGGGCCCTCACCATGCACTTTGAACACAATAGAAAAATCCCACCCTCCAAAGTAAAGTTCATAACATTTTAAATTCCTATAAGGCATTCAAAAATTACCTAACTTATATGGTCCACGGCTACACAATATTTTCATACTTGATTTGGTCAAGAAGTATTCTTTTTCTTAAAAATCCTCATTTCTAGGCCCTCCCTGGTGGCGCAGTGGGTTAAAGCACAGCACTGAGAATCTAAAGCCGCTTCTGCATGAGTTTGATCCCCGCCTGCCCCGGAGGTGACCACATGGTGTGGCAGACCTCTCCTGACCCTCCCGCTGCTCCCCTCAGCAGTGTACTTCGTCGATCTGCCTGTTCTGTTCCCCACTCTGTCTCTTGTGAAGCCTCTCACCACCCCTGAGCCTCTGGCCTGTACCCCAGTTCTGTATGCACAAATAAATAAATCTTAAAAAAAAAAATCCTCATTTCTAAATTTTATTCTGCTATTTAGAAATTTAAAGTGAAAGTAGGATAAAATACAATTTCCTCCTGGAAATTTGTGACTTGACGAACAACAGCTAGTTTCCAAGCTTTGGTTGTCCCCATCATGGGCCCAAATTGCAAGCATCATGGTTATCAGAGAAAAGCTCCTTGTGAAAATGGTACTAAACATTTAACAGCTAAAATATGCATCCAGTCAGGTTGTCTCAGTCTATCCTGTGGGTCAGCTACAGATTTGTTGCTACCCTGATTGTGAAATTGTAGTGTCATCTCTAAAGGAATAACACTCTTCTTATAAATTAGTTGTGTTCTAACAAGAGAAATTCTCACCATGCATTTTCTTTTATTTTTGCATCTTCATTCTTTATTGTCTAATCTATTAGTCCCTCTTTTGCTGTCTCCCAAATGGACCAATGACACATTATAAATCATATACTAGTGGCACTAAATTGAGAGCGGAGAAAGGAGCTTGATGGCACCAATGGGTAAGGAAAGGAAGTGCTCTGTAAGCAAACACAACTCCAGGTCTTTGTGCATCAACAAGGCTAGTGGGCCCCTACAGCCACGGTTGCAGTGAGCATGGCAGCATTTACAGCATTCACTAAGTATGCCTTAACCTCTCATGTTCTTTGGTATTTTCACTTTTCTTATGGACTGGTAAGAGAGACATGTTATGTCTTCAATTAAAATGGCTAGACACAGTCAAATAAAAGTCTGCTCTTCCAAGAAACAAACATTCAAATTCTGGAGTATGAATAGGAAATGATGCTCATTTCTCTCTTTATGAGAGGATATTGGTTTCGGAAATCAATAAAATTGGATTCAATTACAAACCATGGGGAAGTTACTTAAATCTTCAAGTTTTATTTGTTCATAAATAAAATACCTGTGTTCTAGAATTGTGATGAGAATTAAATGAGATCATCAATGTAAGGTACTTAACACTGTCTGACACATGGTAAATATTCAATAAATGGAAACCAGTGTTGTTATTTCTTTCAAAGTGATGCTATGTTGGTTAGTAAATTAGTCTATGTCATAGGCTTCTGAGAACTGGCTTTATAATAAATCATAGTTTCCTATAGTAGAATATTCTTTAGTACCTGATCATTTCTACTATTCGCAATCCTTCATAACTTTTATTTAATTGCAGAGAACTTGTGTAAAACTTCAGTTAGAAAAAAATAGAAATTATGGAAAGCAAGGTCAGTAAGATACAGGCATTGCTCTGAAAATACTATGTGCTTTATCTAGCAGAAAAAATACATGTGCTATCTGTCTGTCCCAGTTAGAAAAAGAGAGAAGCTTCTGGAAGATCTACATATGTAAGCTCTATTTTTAGAGGATTCTTTTAAAATATGACTTGGTGAAAATTAGTCAGACCTTAATGATGTAGTAATGACAGAACAACTACTGAATATCTACTATGCAAAGCAGATCATCATATACAAAGAAGAAAATAAAGAGCTTAAAGTTGTTCTATGTCTGCTCTAAAAACTAAGCTAAAAACTTCTAAGTTAAAAAATAAAGCATTCTGGCCCTCCCTGGTGGCTCAGCGGGTTAAAGCACAGCACTGAGAATCTAAAGCCGCTTCCTCATGAGTTCAATTCCCGCCTGCCCCGGAGGTGACCACATGGTGTGGCAGACCTCTCCTGACCCGCCCGCTGCTCCCCTCAGCAGTGCTCCTCATCGATCTGCCTGTTCTGTTCCCCACTCTGTCTCTGGTGAAGCCTCTCACCACCCCTGAGCCTCTGGCCTGTACCCCAGTTCTGTATGCACAAATAAATAAATCTTAAAAAAAAAAAAAAAAAAGCATTCACTAAAGTATTCGGACTGATTTTTCTCAATATTTTTATTACATCACAGGTCCGAAAATGGCAACTTGTACTAAGCTAAGTTTTTTTGTAGATAACTCCTGCAAAGCCTGCAGCCAAACTACAGATGTGTCTCAAAAGATACATCTCCCTAGTTCTTACTCCCAAAGGAAGAATAGCTGGAGAAGAAAACATTCTTCCTTTCTAATGGTTAGGAGAGTAAGCCTCTAAGTGCTTTTGCTAAGATTCCTCTCTCTCCCTTTTGCATATGAGTCTAAAGCCAGATCACTAAAGAGATACACAGCAACCAAATACAGTTGCTAATCATACCATTTTACTGAATTGTTGCGGTTTTCTGAAGTTGTGTTCAGCAAAATGATAGAATGGAAACATTTCCAAATAGCATCATCATAAGTAATCAGTTTGGGCAGAAACCTGTAAATATGTTGTCCTCTGAGGCAATCTGCAGACTTGAAAACTACACTCTTAAAATAACTTATAAAATACTCTCACAAGTTTAAACAGTCTTAGCAGGATCTGGTTTCTAAACATGAGCAGAGAGGCTTTCTTGCAGCTCTGCTCCATGGGAAGGAGGGGAGCTTCTGACGCTTGGTACTAACTCATGCAAAAGCAGTGGGCAGTTAGGATGAGGGTTTTGTGTTCAGACACAAGTTTGAGTCTAGGCTCTGCCCCTTACTAGCTGTCTGACATTGGGCAAACTTCATAACTTCTCTGTATGGTAACACTTAACTCATGGGATTTCGGGAATCCCATGTATTAAGTCCTTAGCATAGTGTCTGATCAATAGCAAAAGCTTAGTAGGTGTTAGCCCCATCATTGTCCTCCGTCGGCCTTTGCTGATTTGTACCATGCATATTTAGATAGAAATCCCTGGCCTCTTTCCTTTTGTATAGCATACAGGGCACTATCAATAAAGAACAAGCACTTGCTTTTGATATGTTTTAAAAGGCAAGAAAATCTTCATTGAATTGCACCTATCATTTGCCTAAAACTATGCATTACTTAAAATATGTAACATACTCTTACTATAATCAACAGCAAATCCCAATGTTAGGTCTGTACTTAAGGGAAGATATGTTTGTTAATGGTAATGATTTTATCCAACGCCAGGAGGGGATGGAATCCAGTCAAAAGTTTAATCTTCAGGAATGGAAAATACCATCCTCCTACTGGAGAGAATAGGCAGTGCCGTAATCTGTATCAGTAACTGTTGTCTCCGCTCAGTCTACATGGGCCTACTACCAGGGCTTACTTGAACTGTCCTCCTGGTTGAACCATGCTTCAGATTTTGCTGAATTGGAAACACAGCCTCATTTCATGTCACACACACCCTGAGTCTCATTTTGAAAGCCCCCTTCCCAAGGCAAAATGAGGCTGGGAGCAGTCTCCCTTCAAAGACCACACCCCTGGCTTCTAAGTTTCCCCTTGTGTTATCTCCCTGCTCTAAATGCATCCTATTGGAACTTTCTGGGTACTCTATACTTAGTTAAGGGAACAATGAAGTGCTCTACAGAATAAGAAACTTTAGACTATAGATTCATAAATAACTCAATAGGCCCTTGTTTCATAAACAGCAGAACTTACAAGCTAAAGAAAAGAGAAGGAGAGACAAAACCAATTAAAGACCAGATGAACTGCTAAGCAGGTGTCTGAGAATGTTACGGTCAGAAGGCAGAGGGTCCTGGGTATGTTTGTTGTAAAAAAAAAAACCAACAAACATACAAATAAATAAAAATATATGACTCATTTCTATTAAGTATTAAAAGGTAACTTTAGAAAACAAATACCTGGAAACAAGAAGACCAGAGAAGGCTGGTCCAAAAAAGCATGAGGGCCCAGGACAGCAGAGTGGGAAGCTGGAGATCACTGTCCAACTGGGCCTGACTGTCCACTAGTCTCAGCACCCAGCACTGACC